ATATCACCCAGTATTAGCTGTGGGATATTTAGTTACTAGCTGCGTTTACACCAACTGCTCGCGGGCAAAAATATTTGATGGATCATAAAAAGCAACATGTACCCCTAGATAGCACTTTACTTCCCTCTTCTGCAATTTACATCACTATACAGCGCTATACATCAATAGGTACCCCTAGATACCACTGTACTTCCCTCTTCTGCGCCCTACATCACGATACAGTGCTATACAACATTATCTACCCCTAGATAGCATTATACCTCTCGGTACTGCAGTTTACATCACAATACAGCTCTATACAACAATATGTACCCCTAAGTAACCTTGATCGGCATAACAGAATACATACATCGAAATTTTCCAGCCTCTCGGGCCATGCTTTGTGTCTTTTTCCAAGGTTCATTAAATACTCGATGAAAACCTTTGCGTCGTTTAAAGAAAACACAGCATTTTCCAGCGCAGTCATGACTCATCTGACGTGAAGACACAGAGATGGCGAGTTGATTGAGGCTTTAAGTTTCAAACTCTTAAAGGCGGGAAATATTTCTGAAACAAAATCATTCACGATCATCACTATTAATTCTGAATAATGGAAATTCGATTCACGTTTACTTTAGATAATACTTTTTACTCCCATTTTGCCAATCATACAAAGAAATCAATACACTGAGCAATACCTTCAACAAGACGCAGCTACACAGTTGTAAATCTCCATCCTCATCCTCAGTAGAACTATGCCATCACAAAGGTGGAATAATCGCGAAAGAATAACCGCACTTAAGACCTCCCTATATACCAAGGAATTCGTGCCACTGGATTCGACATGTGCCAGTAACCTACTTTCACATTTAACGTGACGTTCAGCTAAGATCAGCGAACTGTTTCTTTTTTTCTTCATTTTAAACGATTCCAATCCTAATTGTGGTATCATATTTGCATAAGAATGCTAATGTCAACTTGAAACTCTGCATTCATTTTTTTTGATGAAATGAAACACAACAAACCAGAGATACCACGTACTTAAAAC